CCACTTCTCGAAAAATTATAAAATTCACATCACCGGATTCCTTATCTCGCCACGAGTCCATGCATATAAAGAACACCAAAATCGGAGTCCAAATGACCCCTCAAATTCCCATTTTTGTTCTCTTAGGTTTCACGCCCTAAACCACCATTTTTGACCTTAATTCCTTGAGTTTTCAGTGTAATTTCATGTATTTGCATGATAAAATTGTGTTCTAAGTCCAAGAATGCTTACCTGATCGAAGTCCTTGAATTTCCTCTTCAAAATCGCTCAAGAACACCCCAATTCCGAAGTTAAAAATATGTTTCTGTAAAATTTCGCGAAGTGATTAAAACCCACTTCTGATCAGTTATTAACGCTTCTGTGGTCCTTTGTCGCTTTTGCGACTACCGCATCTGCGGTCATTTTTCCGCTTCTGCGGAATCTTCTAAAAATCCAAAAAACCGCTTCTGCGGTCTCTCTTCCGCATCTGCGGCTTCGCAGATGCGGCTCCCCTAACCGGTTCTGCGAAAGCAGCACCGGGCCCAAAAGTCGCTTCTGCGATCCTCCCCTCGCTTCTGCGTGACCGCTTCCGCGGTCCATTTCCGCAGAAGCAAAAATACCAGATACTAGATATGAACCTGCAATCTCCAACTTAAATTTTCATCCCGTTAGCCATTCGAAATCACCCCGAGGCCCCCGGAACCTCAACCAAAAACACCAACATGATCCAATACCTTATTCAAACTTGCTCCAATCATCAACACACCTCAAACAACACTAAAACCATCATTTCTCATCGAATTCAAGCCTAAGTTCTTCCAAAACTTCCGAAACACGCATTCGATCAAAAACCCAACCAAAACAGCTCCGAATGACCTGAAATTTTGCACACACTTCCCAAATCACCTAACGAAGCTGCTGCAACTCTCGGAATTCCATTCCGACCCCCGGATCAAAATCTCACCTATCGACCGGAATTCGCCAAAATCCTAACTTTGCCAATTCAAGCCTAATTCTACTCCGGACCTCCAAAATCACTTTTGATCACACTCCTAAGTCACAAATCATCCCCCGAAGCTAACCCAATCATCGAGATTCATATCCGAGCCCTCTAACACAAAGGTCAACTTCCGGTTGACTTTTCCCAACTTGAGCCTTCTTAAAAGAGACTAAGTGTCTCATTTCTTATCAAGACCATTCCAAACCAACTCTAACACATCAAATACTGATGATGAAACATGAAGAAGCATAAAATGGGGGAAACGGGACGGTAACACACGTGACGACGGGTTGGGTCATCACATCATAATAACCTTATTATGACCAAAGCAAGGCACTTACATCTAAGATAGCTATAAAAGGAGAAGACTGAACAATTGTAGACACACAAAAAATAAATCATCTGAATATACTTTGGATTACTTGCTTTATTTAATTATATTAAGGCTATTCAAATTATTCTCTTTTATATATTCTTGCGATTATCAGTAACTGATGATAGGCTATAATTACATATTTTAGTCGCTTACTACACACGAGTTTACTGCACTTTAATTGAGTTTGAGCTTTAATCGCTATTGTTTTGCACTAATTGTGTGTTTTATGCCTTGTAGGTGTGATTCCGAGCTATATAGATGTTATGGAATGAATTTAAGTGATTTGAAGCTTTGAAGTCTGAGTAAAAGCTCAAGGAATTAAGCCGGGATCGTGTTCGGGGGTCAAATTTGATAGTTGAGAACAAACGACGACTCGATGAGGCATATTTCGCACTGTCTAGTAAACTGGATATAACATTTTGCTCAGAACTCCATTTTGGTTCCACAATATATGGTTGGAAAGCTAACTCAAAGGGCTACAACTTTCATGTTTTACGTTTTTTCAAATTCGGAAAGGAACAGGGTGAAAAACATGCGCGAAGTCATGCGCGAGCTCATGCACGAAGTCGCGCGAGTTTAAGAGCTGGAGGCAGAATGTTAGGGAATACGCGCGAAGTCATGCGCGAGTTCGCGCTAGTCACCCGGGAAAAGTGTCCTTTTTCACATTGGAGAAGGTATAATTATTTGGGCCCGACCCCACTTGGTATATATACATGGAAAAATGGTATTTTTGGGTGTTGGGCACACTTTTGACATAATTTAGACCTAAGGAGGCTAAGGAGACCAGAGATTCGACCTAAGGAGTCAAGAACACAATAGGAGCAAGGCGCGGAATTCTTCGACGAGTTTTTCCTTCTTCCTATTTTTTCATTGTTGGTTATGCTTTTTAGTATTGTAGTTTTACATACTATTATGAATAGCTAATTCATTTTCTAGGGTTTTGATGGAACCTTTTGTGGATGAATTGGTTGTTATATTAATATAGTTTTGAATTGGTTGTTTATCTCTATTTGTTCAACTACATTTTGATTTTGGTTAATTGAAAGGATCCTCAATTAGTCGTTGCTATTTATTATGTATCTGCTTGAGAGAGAGTGCATATTTAGGTAGTTGTTTGAACAACATCACTCCCGGAGTATAGGCGAGAGTCATAACCGAGGGTTTAGAGGTTGGATTAGAGATAACGATACCTCGGGTGCGATCTAAGTGAACTGTAATGTGAATCTAGCTAGCGTAGCTTGAGAGAGTGCGTCTAGTAAATTATCATAATTGCTTGAGAGAGATTTATGATAGCTGGAGAGTTCATAATTGATAGAGGCAACTAAGTCAAAGCTATAAGAAACATACAACTAATGAAATCAACAATTGGGAAAATCATAACTCTAGACCTCCTTAATTTAGTCTCCAAACCTTTGTCTCGTTAGTTGATAATTTTACCGTTTTATAGTATTTGTTGGTTAAGTAGTTAGATATAAAAATCTTAATATTATAATTTAGAAATTGTTCAAACTTGTCTTCTTTGCGATATTGAACAATTACAGCAAAACCTTAGTTCTCTGCGAGATTCGACTCCGGACTTTTAGACCAGATTATATTTGCAGCGACCGCTTATCCTTTTTAGGACTAGAGTTGGGCGTGACCAGTAACTCGTGTTCTTCTAAAAATATAGCTTTAGTCAAAATTCCATTTTTTGGTTAAACAAATTGGTTCCGCTACCGGGAATATGATAATCCATTTTATTTTAGCCTAACTTCCCTTGTTGCGTCAACCATGTCGAACAACAATGACAACATTCAAGAAAACCAAGAAAATCAAACAACCCAGCAACTTCAGCAAGATCCACAGAACAACAACGTACTGATTACTTCTCCACAAGGCTCTCCACGGCGGTCTCGTGAAGGCACTCCTGATGGGTCTCATACAGATGGACAAGCTCAATTCGAGAATGTTGAAACTATGGATGAGGCTTTACAAAAACTTGTTGCTTCTCAAGTCAATAAAGCTCTTCAGGCTTTTGTTAGCCAATTACCTGCTGCACCACCTACACCCACACCAAATAACAATACTCTAGAGAACCCTCGTTCCGGACTCGTTAATTCAGGTAGTGGTGGAACCCCCAGCGAATCATAAGAGGGAGAACCAGGTAATTTAGTTAATTCTAATTTACAGAATTTAGTACAAACATTGCAGAAACAGCTCAAGGAGCAAAATGACCGCATAGAGCAAACACCTGGGGTGCCACCAGTGATCAAAGAGGTAGACATGGATAAATATTCACAACAACCTTGGAAGCCAAGTGCTGCTCCCCTTCCAATCCCCAAAAAATTCAAAATGCCTGAGATGCCAAAATAAGATGGAAAAATAGACCCGCGAGGCCACGTGATTGCTTTCACAACAGGCGTAAAAGGCAATGATTTGACTAAACAGGAGATCGAATCTGTATTAGTAAAAAAATTTGGTGAAGCACTCACTAAAGGAGCACTAACATGGTATTCTCTTTTACCCGAAAATTTTATAAATTCTTTTGCTGAGCTTGCAGATTCTTTCATCAAAACACACTCAGGAGCCCAAAACGTCGAAAAAAGAATGGAAGATATTTTCAAGATCAAACAAGGGGACTCAGAATTGCTTAGGGAATTTGTGGATAGATTTCAGCGTGAAAGAATGACATTGCCATGTGTACCGGATAACTGGACAGCTATAACATTCACGAGCAATTTGAATGAAAAAAGCTCAGAAGCTACGAGGAGACTCAAGGAAAGCCTTCGAGAATTCCTAGCTACAACATGGAATGATGTTTACAATCGTTATAGCACAAAATTGAGGATTGAAGAAGATATTATTTTACGACATCAAAAAGAAGAAAAGATAAGCTCAAGACGGGCTGAAAACGAGAAAAGGTCCGGTAAAAACAGGTAAGAGCCATACATGGGACCTGCGGGAAGAGACTCACGATCAAAGCAGGATAATCAGAGGTACGATCACAGATCAAGGAATAAAGAGTCAGGCTCATCATCAAGATTTGGGAGTGACCGAAGCGCATGTGAGCCGCGAGACAATGATGGAGGTCTAAAGGCAAGGTTTGGTGGTTATAATTTCAACGTCAGCACTTCTGAACTCGTGGCTGTTTTAAGAAGCATGGAAGATAAGGTACGGTGGCCCAAGGAAATGAGATCAAATCCGATTAGACGAAACCCTGACCATTGGTGCGAATTTCATAACAATCATGGGCATAAAACAACAGATTGCAGGTTTTTGCAGGGTGAAGTTGATCATTTGTTAAAACAAGGATATCTCACTGAACTACTTAGTGAGAAAGGTAAACAAGCATACATGAAGAACAGGCAGGAGCCTCCAAAACCACCTTCTCCCAAGAGAACTGTCAACGTTATAAGTGGGGGTGAAGAGATCAATGACGTATCATATAAAAAGGTTTCTAAAGTAACAATTACCCAAGGGAAGAGGCCTCGACATGTATTGGAGGGAGAAAATATTACGTTCGATGATGCATATGCCGAGGGTCTATTAACTCCACATAACGACGCACTGGTAATATCTTTACTTGTACATGACACTAACGTGAAACGAGTTTTAATTGATCCAGGTAGTTCCGTGAACATTATTTTGGTAAGAGTATTACGTGAGATGCAAGCTGAAGATAACGCGATACCAAAGGTGCATACTCTATCTGGATTTGATAATTCTAGTGTTGTCACAAAAGGAGAGGTAATACTCACCACATTCGCTGAAGGAGTCGTCCAAGATACAAAGTTCCAGGTCGTAGATTTGGAGATGGCTTACAATATGATTCTTGGGAGACTATGGATCCACGAAATGAATGTTGTTCCTTCAACCTTGCATCAAGTAATTAAATTCCCAGCGCCATGGGGAATCTGTCAAATCAGGGGAGATCAACAGACATCCATGAGCATCAACTCCGTGGCAGATTCAAGTACGAATGGTGAAGAAAAATAGCATTTACAGAATCCAGTTGAGGATAACATAGCGTCAACCTCAACTGAACAAGAGCAAACAGATGTAGATTCAAGGCCCGATTCCATTCAAGAACCAGAGGAAAATGAAAACATCAAAACGACGATAGAAGAGATGGAGGCTGTGGTTTTGTTTATACACTGGCTGGAGAGAAAAGTGTATATAGGAGCCAATCTTAGCCCAGAGGTGAAGCGTAAGTTAATTGAATTTTTAAAAGCTAACGCAGACTGTTTTGCTTGGTCCCATACTGACATGACAGGAATACCACCGGAGGTGATGACTCATAAACTAAATGAAGATCCCTCATATTCTCCAGTCAAGCAAAACAAAAGAAAGCAAGGAACTTTCAAGAATCAGGTGATTCAAGAAGAAGTCCAAAAATTGCTCAAAATTGGCTCTATTCGTGAGGTAAAGTATCCTAACTGGTTAGCCAACACTGTTGTAGTTCCAAAGAAGAATGGTAAGTGGCGGGTTCGCGTAGATTACACAGATCTTAATAAAGCCTGCCCTAAAGATTCGTGAGGTTGTTTGCCTCTTCGTGAGGTTGTTTTCTCAATATTTTTGTTCTCTCTTTTATATAGTAGAATGCTCATCTCTGCCGTGGATGTAGGGCAGTCGATCGAATCACGTTAAATGTTTGTGTTTCTTTTGGTATATATTTCTTTTAATGTTTGATTTATCGTTGTCCAAGGTTCGATTTGTTAGCATCCACATGACGCTTGATTTTTCGGTCCTAACATATACAACTTAGTTTCTTCTAAGAACCATATTCATTTATCTTTCAGGAGCACATTCAATGGGGCAAGCACATTGCCGATTCTTCTATGACCGCCTTTACAATTTCAAGGGTACTGGAAAACCCGACCCCACCATGAAGAGATCTACATTAGTAACCCTAAGATCACAGTGCCCAAAAAATAGCAAAACCGATTCAGCTGTCTATTTCTCACCAGGATATGGTTCTAACTACACTTTCTCCAATACATTCTATGGAAAAGTTCTCGCTCACGAATCTGTTCTTAGAGTTGATCAGCAATTATCATATGGAGCTGACACGAATGAACTTGTCAATGAATTTGCACAAAGTTTAGAGCAATTCAGAAGGGCATTTACATTGTCAATCAACAGGATGGGAGGTCTCAAAGTGTTGACTGGTAAAAATGGCGAAATTCGCAGAGATTGCAAGTTTACAAATAAGAACAATCCCAATCTTTAGTAGGATCGGTTTTGTAATGTTGCATTAACTAATAATATGGCCTATATATGAAAATATATATGTAATTTCTTATACTGCTGATAAGCAGATATCCATTTTGTCATTTCGAACATTAAGGACAGTATATTGTAATAATTGATGACATAAGTTGAATAATAGAGATGTGGACAATCTCTTTTGAGTGTTAAATTGCATCAAGTATGATCATAACGTGCCTCACAAATTTTCATTTATTCTCAAGATATTTGCTATATTTTTTCTAAGAAGTAAAATCATAACGTTGGTGTATTGGGGAAAATTATATTTATGTGTAAAGGTGACGTGTCAAGACACGTGGATTAGTCAAATGGTCAAAGAATCGCAATTAACCACGAGCCAGGAGTTACAACAGATACGAGCAAGGAAAGAGGAAGAGGCACGGGACATCAGACAAGTAATACGGCGCCCGTACCTATTTAAGTTATTTACATCCGAGAAACAGAAGGAATGAATCTGTCAGCATACGAGGGTCCAAATACAATATTTGATAAGCATTAAATGCTGAAAACGTTAGAGAATCTGTCTTAAATGTAATGATTATGTAACGTAGCATTCAATGTCATTATTGCTCATATGTCACGATCCAAACCCCGGCCGTGATGGCGCCCAACATACTGCTAGGCAAGCCCGACCATTTACACAACCTTAACCAAATAACCTAGATGGATAAATAAATATCCACAAGTAAAAATAACAATTTAAATGCGGAATCTCTAAAATAATTTCTAACATCCGAAAACCCCAAAATAAAATACTAAATAGCCCACAGATCTGGTGTCACGAACATGAGCCTCTAATACAAAATATTCACCTAATCACAAGTCTGTCTAGGAAAGAAAATACGAATAAAAGGATAAAGATAGATGGGAGAGATCAAGGCTGCGAACGCCATGCAGCTACCTCGATACTCCCGAATACTGCTGCTCAGCTAAACAAATCCTCACTCACCCTGTGGTGTACCTGGATCTGCACACAAGGTGCAGGGAGTATTATGAGTACTTCCAACCCAGAAAGTAATAAATATAAATAATGTCTGAGGATAAGAAATCCTAAATAACACAAGGTAAAGCTATAAATACAGTAAAAAAGTAAAGACAATTATCATAATACCACAACAGATAAATAATAAATGACAATTAAAACATGCAATGCAACACATAAACCGGTACTCTCCAGTACCCCGCTGCGGCGTGCAGCCCGCTCCATTTATTTAACGTCGATGGCGCTCACTGGGAGTGTGCAGACTCCGGGAGGGGCCCCTTACGGCCCAAGCGCAATAATAAGCCATCTCGTGGCATCAAACAGGCCCTCGGCCTCATATCAATATCAATATCATACCGCTGCAGCGTGCAGCCAGATCCCATACTCAGTCCAAAATCACATAAGCCCCTCGGGCACAATAACATAAAAATATTCAGCCCAAACTTCATTTAAAAATATTAATTAGTTTCTAGTTTTGAGAAAAGCGGCTGAGTTTGCAAAACAGTATTAAATACCAGGACTGAGTTCAATATTTATAATTATGGTAAGAAACCAGTAAAAATAATCCCTGAAGGATTCAAGTAGTTGGCACAAAGCCCAATTATGACAATTAATCCATTTTTATAAGGATATCACTAAGCTTCAATCAATTAGGTAGTAATTTTATTACGCGGGACGGACCAAGTCACGATCCCCGACGGTGCTCTACCCACGTTCGTTATCCGGCGTGCAAGTCACCTCAACATAGCACTACAGTGTGCAAATTCGGGGTTTCAAACCCTCAACGCAGCATTTACATTTATTACTAACCTCAAGGTGGCCAAAGTCCTAGCTTGCTATGCCCTTGCCTTTAGAATTCACCTCCTCGTGCGTCGAATCTGACCAAAACCACAACGAATACGTCACAATATGCTAAGGGAATATAACCCACTCGAAAAGACTCGAAAAATATCAAAAATTACGAAGTTGGCAAAACCCGAGTCCCGGGACCACTTCTCGAAATATTATAAAATTCACATCACCGGATTCCTTATCTCGCCACGAGTCCATGCATATAAAGAACACCAAAATCGGAGTCCAAATGACCCCTCAAATTCCCATTTTTGTTCTCTTAGGTTTCAAGCCCTAAACAACCATTTTTGACATTAATTCCTTGAGTTTTCAGTGTAATTTCATGTATTTGCATGATAAAACTGTGTTCTAAGTCCAAGAATGCTTATCTGATCGAAGTCCTTGAATTTCCTCTTCAAAATCGCTCAAGAACACCCCAATTCCGAAGTTAAAAATATGTTTCTGTAAAATTTCGCGAAGAGATTAAAACCCACTTCTGATCAGTTATTTTCGCTTCTGCGGTCCTTTGTCGCTTCTGCGACTACCGCATCTGCGGAATCTTCTAAAAATCCAAAAACTGCTTCTGCGGTCTCTCTTCCGCATCTGCAGCTTCGCAGATGCGGCTCCCCTAACCGCTTCTGCGAAAGCAGCACCAGGCCCAAAAGTCGCTTCTGCGATCCTCCCTTCGCTTCTGCGTCACCGCTTCTGCGGTCCATTTCCGCAGAAGCGAAAATACCAGATACCAGATATGAACCTGCAATCTCCAACTTAAATTTTCATCCCGTTAGCCATCTGAAATCACCCCGAGGCCCCCGGGACCTCAACCAAAAACACCAACATGATCCAATACCTTATTCAAACTTGCTCCAATCATCAACACACCTCAAACAACACTAAAACCATCATTTCTCATCGAATTCAAGCCTATGTTCTTCCAAAACTTCCGAAACACGCATTCGATCAAAACCCCAACCAAAACAGCTCCGAATGACATGAAATTTTGCACACACATCCCAAATCACCTAACAAAGCTGCCACAACTCTCGAAATTCCATTCCGACCCCCGGATCAAAATCTCACCTATCGACCGGAATTCGCCAAAATCCTAACTTTGCCAATTCAAGCGTAATTCTACTCCGAACCTCCAAAATCACTTTTGATCACACTCCTAAGTCACAAATCATCCCCCGAAGCTAACCGAATCATCGGAATTCATATCCAAGCCCTCTAACACAAAGGTCAACATCCAGTTGACTTTTCCCAACTTAAGCCTTCTTAAAAGAGAGTAAGTGTCTCATTTCTTATCAAGACTATTCCAAACCAACTCTAACAAAGAGAGAGATCGATTTGTGAGATTAGAATATTTCAGAGCCCGAGTCGAGTGTTGGCTTGTGTGGTTTCTCGTCTTCCTTGTATGACCGCATCAGGGAGTGTCAATATGATGATCCGCATTTGTTTGTCCTTAAGGACAGGGTTCAGCATGAGGATGCCAGGGATGTGACCATTGGAGATGATGGTGTGTTGAGGATGCAGGGCCGGATTATGCGTGCCCAACGGTGGATGGCTTTCGGAGTTGATATTGGAGGAGGCCATAGCTCGCGGGTATTCCATTCATTCTGGGTGCCCCGAAAAATGTATCAGGATCTCAGACAGCACTATTGGTGGCGGAGGATGAAGAGAGATATTGTGGAGTATGTAGCCCGGTGTCTTAACTGTCAGCAAGTGAAATACGAGCATCAGAGACCGGGTGGCTTACATCATCGCAGATGGTTTATTCCTGAGTGGAAGTGGGAGAGGATCACTATGGATTTTTGTTACGGACTCGCCACGACTCTGAAGAAATTTTGATGCTATTTGGGTGATTGTAGACAGGTGACAAGTCCGCGCACTTCATTTGGTTTGTACTACTTATTCTCAGAGCGGCTGGCAGAGAATCTATATTCGGGAGATAGTTCATTGCATGGTGTCCCAGTTTGCCATCATATCAGATCGGGGCACTCAGTTCACCTCTCAGTAATTGGCAGGCAGTTCAGCGAGAGTTGGGTACCAGGTGCAGTTGAGCACAGCTTTTCCACCCTCAGACGACGGCAGTCTCGAGCGCACCATTCAGATATTGGAGGATATGTTACGTGCCTGCGTTATTGATTTGGAGGGTCATGGGATCGGTTTCTACGCTTGCAGAGTTTGCCTACAACAATAGCTATCAGTCCAGCATTCAAGATGGCACCGTAGTGAGGCCTTATATGAGAGGCGGTGTAGATCTCCAGTTGGTTGGTTCGAGCCGGGGGAGGCTAGATTGTTGGGGACAGATTTGGTTCAGGATGCATGGAAAAGGTGAAGGTGATTCAGGAGAGACTCCGTACAGCACAGTCGAGACAGAAGAGTTATGCAGACAGGAAAGGTTCGAGATGTATCTTTTTATGATTGGTGAGAAGGTCTTGCTGAAGGTTTCACCCACAAAGGGTGTTATGAGATTCGGAAGAAAGGGAAGCTGAGTGCCGCGGTTCATTAGGCCTTTTGAGGTACTTAGGAGGATTGGGGAGGTGGCTTATGAGCTTGCCCCGCCACCTAATCTTGTCGGGCGTGCATCCAGTTTTTCATGTGTCTATGCTCCGGAAGTACATTGGGGCCGACCGTACCATGTCTCAGATTTCAGTACAGTTCCAGCTGGAGGGTGACTTGACTTATGAGGTTGAGCTAACAGCCATTTGGGGATCGTCAGGTTCGGAAGTTGAGGTCAAAGGATATTGCTTCGGTGAAAGTACAGTGGAGAGTCGGCCCGTGGAGGAGGCTACCTGGGAGATTGAGGGGAGATGCGGTGCAGATACCCCTCACCTATTCGATGTATCAGGTATGTTTCTTGACTCGCTCGAGGACGAGCGTTTGTTTAAGTTGGGGAGGATGTTACCGCCCTGTTTCCCCCATTTTATGCTTCTTCATGTTTCATCTCAGTATTTGATGT